TGTCTAGTTTTAGTAAACCAAAACTTTTAAAATGCTAACCTCTGTTCATTTTGCTTATTTCTATAATGAAAATGAAAATTTAAATTTAATAATGATGCTTTTAGCAGAGTGCTATTTCACAGTATAGATGTGGTGTGTGTCCCTAGGATTCAATACTATAAAATTTTTCTAAATGTTGACTAATATTGCAATTAATTTTTATGACCCTTTTTTACAAGTGATATAGGTGTTTCTTTTGGATTTTAAGACAAGTTTTGCCCTGGCTGTCCTGAAGCCCACTTTGTAGACCAAGCTGTTCTGAAACTCAGAGAACTTCTCCTGTTGCTGCCCCTAAGTGCTGAGATTAAAGGTGTGTGCCACCGCCACCCAGTTGTCGTAATAGATTTTATGTTAATCTTTCTTTCTATCTATCTACACACACACACACACACACACACACACACACATATATATATATATATCTGCCTATAATCTACCTATCTACCTACCTATCTATCCTACAAACTATTTTTGAGACAGAGTTTTACTAAGCAGCCTTGGCTGACTTTGAACTTCTTGTGCATATCAGGCTGGCCTTAAACTCACAGGGATCTGCCTGCTGCCTCTGTTTCCTGAGTGCTGGGATTTAAAGACATATGCTCCCATACCCGTGCTGAACTTCCATTTTAAATGAAGAAGAAAGATAGTCAATTTCATTAAAATATGCTAGTATAGGTAATTTAAAAGCTTGGGGAAAAAATGAACAAAAGACAGCACCTGCATGTTTACCTCCAGCGCTAAGAGAATAATTGATGTGGATGAAAGTTGTTCACTGATTGAACTGGTTCTCTCCAGAGTTCTGCCAGCGAGCCATAGACATCAGCCAAGTTATACTGCCCCTCCCTTTGAAAACTGAGAGGCTTCACACTCTTCCTATTATATCCCGTATATGTTTAACACACAAACCCCTTGCAGAAATCAAACACAACCTCTTCACAGAGTCTACAGAGCAGATGGTAAACTATTTGATGGATGCTGTAGAGACGATGGCCAGTATAAATTTCCTGATTAACAACCTATAGGCAAGTGTAAGGAGGAACCTGAAAATGATTTTAGATGCTTAGTTATTCAGAAATACTGGGTTAGCATCAGTTGTCTTGTTCTCAAAGACCCTTTACTGTGACCTCCCGTTTAGCACTTACTAACAGATAAAAATCTCTTCTCCAGAAAACTTGTTTTCTTCCTTCCTTCCTTCTTTCCTTTCTTCCTTCTTTCCTTCCTTCCCTCCCTCCCTCCCTCCCTCCCTCCCTCCCTTCCCTCCTTCCTTCCTTCCTTTCTGTTTGTTTTCCAGGCAGGCTTTTTCATGTAAGAGTTCTGGTTGTCCAGGACTTTGCTTTGTAGAACAGGCTGGCCTTGAACTCACAGAGATCAGCTTGCTTCTGTTGCTTGAGTGCTGGGATTAGAGGCGTGTGCCCCCATGCCTGACTCCAGGAAGGTTTCTTTAACATTACTAAGCTGAGTCTTACGCTATATGTTTATACCTCTTGACCTCCGAAGATTCTACTTCTCCAAAAGTAGTAACTGTACAAGTACAATTGGGCATTTCCTCATTTTGCCAACTGCATTCTTTGCTTCATGAAGGTAGATATTCTGACCTACTTACTGTTTTCTGCCCTCTGCCTGACAAATAGCATATGTGATTCAAAAATTTATTGTAAGAAGGAACAATTTTAGGAAAGAGAATTTTAGAATTATGTTATTCATGATCAAATAATGCTTCTGTCTTTGCTGAAGGGTTTTCTTAACCAAGATTTAATTTAATGATTCCCCTGCCTCAATTTTGCACAGCAATACAAACTGCAAAGTTTTGAATTTTTATGGAAACGAATACAATTTTGACTATAAAACTTTCTACTATTAATACATTTGCTCTAATCAATGAAGCTATAGCAATATTTAGAACGTGTAGGGGTCAGTGATGTCTTTTCATCTCATTTTGGCAGACACAGTCCAAGCTCTCTGATAAGTCACATCCAATCCTGGTTGTCATTGAGAAGTTTCTGGGAAGGAACTGTCTAGTACGTCTTTAACTCAGGATTAACTTTCTTATTTTAAATTCATTCACACTATTCTTTGTGGTTTGTGCAGCCTGCCTGAAAAATACCACTGCCTGTTAGCCTACCCTAACTGCTTTGGTCCTTGGAATAAACCTGCTGGGTCCAAACTGTTGTCACTGTAGATTTTATGGTTGTGTGGTTCATTAATAAACAGGTGCAAGGAGAGTACAGTTTGAGGTCTCAAGTTCTAACTCCAAACTTGGCAACACTCGAAATTGTTCTTACAACCTGCTTCCGTACCTGTGGATCTCACACCACAGGAGAACATCATATGACTTTTGAGCTGTCAGGTACAGCTTGCAGTGGAGCAGACTATGTTTAGAGAAAAAAAATGTTCCTTTTACTTGAAAAGAGTTTTGGTTGAGGTGCGAGAGTAGAAGGTTAACTCATCCATCCCTCTTTAGCATCACCTCCATCTCTTTCCCATATCATTCTCCCTAGCATAACATTCATCTTCCTCCAATACCATCTTTAGCAGAATCACCTCCCACCCCTCTATCCTGCTCTAACAAGCATCATTTCCATCCTCAATCTCTTCTGTACTCCTCAGCATCACCTCTAACCTTGTTTTGTCCACATCATCTCTATCCTTCCTTACCACCTCCATCCTTCCCTAACCAACATCATCTCCATCCACGTTCCATTCTGCACTCACTAGCATCACCTTCATGCTCATCAGTATCACTTTTAATCTTTATTGACTTTTTTGAGGATCACATCCATCCTCCTTCCATCAGGTCTCCACCTTGCTTCCATTCTTTTCTCACCAACGTGACCTTCATTCCCCCAACTGCCCTCTTCTTAGCAGCACTGCATCCATCCTCATCATTCTTACCTTTATCTTCCCCCCAGCACCAACTTCGATCTACGATTATCATACCACTTTAGAGACCAACCATTTCTTGTCTACCCTTCCTGAAGAATTTATAAAGTTTTAGTCTTTAATTGTTTCCCTTTTCTACCACTACCCCTGCAATCTGTCTCAAGTAACTATTTCTATTGAAATATTGGGAATACTTCCCACGGTTTGGCTGCTCTTTTTATGTGTTGGTTCTGAGCCATAAACATTACAGCTCTGTAAATTCGGGGTTACTGTGTTGTCGTTTTACAGAGGAGAAGGCTGAAGTTCAGGCAGACTCAGTATTCTATCCATCAGAAGTGGTAGTAAATGTGGGTAATCTAGAATTTATGCCCAGATCTCTTGGCCTTTAGAACATATTGTCCAATGTACCCGAATACAATTTCAGCATAGCTCCCCACTACATATCTAAGAGGGAGTATGACAGGATGTGATCTTTTGAAAGTGTCTTACGAGTAAATGAAGACAGATAGCTGGCATAATAGAGTTTTGAAATCTTTAATGGTATCCTTTTGGATTTAAATGATTATTTCTGAAATCTCAACACACTGAGATACAAGTATATCTTAACTTGGGGAAGACACTTCCCTCCCCACTAATGGTATAGCAATTTTAAGAACAGGAGAGGCTGTTTTTGGAGTCTCTCCTCTGGGTTGATTTCAGGTTGAAATCTATTGAAATTTTTCTATCACCATAATAGTTGCTACTTGCTTGGGTGCCCTGGGCATTCATCAGGGTTGGGTGCATTTCAGGTGTAAGTTCCCGTGTTGGGTTCAGCCCATGCTAGGAGTGACAAGGAAGATCATGCCATGGGCCAGCTGGTTAGCTCAGACACCATGCTGTTTGTGCCAGAATGTCTGCATCTTTCAGGTGGCTCCAATAGGGCCACTCGTCAGCCCAACCAATGTTAATAACATCCTTGCTTTCTCATTCTGAGCCACAATGGAACCAGGGACCTAGAGGTTAAAGGTTCTCTATCCTGTTATGAGTTCCCTGAGCCACACTGCACCAGATGGTGTCCCCAGGGATTATTTCACCCACTTAACCTAATTCAGCTTGGCTTTCTCTTTTTGATCTGCAGTGAACATCATTTCTTTAAAAATAATTTTTTTGAGTGGGAAGAAACACATTTTGTTATGCTGAAAGTAAGCAAAAAAATGTATTTGACACCTCAGGTAATAAGGATTTTTTTATCCTCTCCCTCTCTGAATTCCTTCTATTGAAAATTGTAATTTTACCATATTTCATTCTCTAAGGAACTTTTTGTCATTTAAATCTCCCATTCAGTGGTGCATTTAGCTTGGGAGCTGTGGCCCTGCCCTGCTTATAGCATACATGCTGGACATTGGCGAATGCTTTCTGGAAGAACTCTAATTTTATTCCTTCATTATTAGCATGTTGCATTTGTCGAGGCCTTGCTAATTGGAGTTGGTAGTCACAGCCATGAAAGCTGGGGAGAATGTCTTCCTATCTTCCTGTCCATGTCTGTGTCTGTGTCCGTGTGTGTGTGTGTGTGTGTGTGTGTGTGTGTGTGTCCGTGTTTAACTTAAAATTATTTAAATGTTTTATTTATTTATTAAGTGTCGATTTCTTTAAAATGAAGTACAACCTTCTGTGAACACGGTTAAAGAGATGAACAGGAGAGGGAGGGTGAGAGGTTGCAGTTGATACACACCCCAAGTAGGCTCACAGAGAGTGTAAGGCAGGCGAGGCTGGACCGATATAGAGGGTGAGGGGAGCATGACGTGAGGAGGAAGTGACAATGAGAAAAGAAAGACGTTATTATCTTTAAGAGACCACTACTTTGTTACTTCAAGCGGTATTTGACAAGTGACATGGTTGTGGAATGAATGCTGAAATCTAAATGATGCTTAGATTTAAATGACTTTGTTAGCCAATTCAATCTGGTTCCTCGGGTCCACTTTCTGAACTCAAAGAGTTTGGGAGATGCTCATTATCTGTTCACTTCATGGGCCTTTGAGAAGCGCTGGTGTGTCTCAGCACCAGGTTCATGGAGCCTTATCTTTCCCCTCTTGTTTGCGCAGGAAATTTCAATGAAAAGGAAAGCCAATGGATCGTGGTCTTTGAAAAGCTGCCTTGACAGTCTGTTTCCTGGTCCTCTGAACACGTGGCCGAGCTGTAAGTAACCGCTCCACACTGCGTGATGAATTGGATGGCTTCAGACCCGAGGCAAAAAAAATAATTGTCTCATTTTCGCGCTGATTTGCTTAACTGGTGGGACCATGCCAGAAAGGCTAGCTGAGACGCTCGTGGACCTCTGGACTCCATTAATAATATTATGGATTACCCTCCCCACTTGTGTGTACATGGCTCCGATGAATCAAGCTCCCACGTTAACCACTGGATCCTCTTTGGAACTAAGCAGGCAGAGTGAAGAACTGCGAATTTTGAACCGCTCCAAAAGAGGCTGGGTTTGGAATCAAATGTTTGTCCTGGAAGAATTTTCTGGACCTGAACCGATTCTCGTTGGCCGGGTAAGCTTCATTTTTAAGCTCCTATTTCAGGGTCTGTTCCTGGTCTTTAAATGTTTCGTTTCAGGCTCCACACAGTTTTTCATCACACTTAAGTGTAAATCCTTCAAACCAGATGGTTAGACGGCTAACCTGTTGGTTTCTCTAGCAATATGAAAAATCCTACTGTTTAAAACATTCCTTTAGGAAATGTTAGTTTCCATACCACTCCCACCCTTTACTGAGACAGCATGAACTTGGATAATGGATAAACAAGTCAAGTGCTTTCTTAACTTATGCAAAACTTATTTTGCCAAACTTTTCTCTAGATTCTAATATTTGGGTCTAGTACTTAGAAGTTGTAGGCATTTTGGTCCAATTCGAATTCCTCTCACTTCAACTATAAAAGTACTATTTTTATTGTATTTTAAAATTATATATTCCAGTTTGCAGGTAGATTTTCCATTTTATTTCATTGATTTCTGTTTCAGCCCTTGTGAAGAACAAAGTAGTATTTGTAACAAAAGTGCTAGGCAGGGCCTGGCGCTCACTTCACAGAACATCATTTCTGTCATTGCCAAATACAACCATACACATAGAAGGGTCATTTTAGGTCAGTGGTGAGTACCTGTGTTTGCCTGTACACTACACTGCATTTACATTTGTTTTGTTATTGTTGCAAGTTCTTCACGTAGACACTGGCTCTCAGTTCTCCAAAGTAGTGTTACAGGGCTTCAAAGATGTGTACATGTTCACTCCTCAGAGTCATCTGTGTTTGCACATTTTGGCATTCACTGTCATCATACTTCAAATTCTAGGGATGGACCGATGGTGACGGCATTATGCAGTTGGTAACATTCTTTTCTAGCATGTGAGAAGCCCTGGGTTTGATCTGCAGTGTTTTATATATACACATACATACATATACACCAGTCTTGGTGATATATACTGATAATCCTGTTAGAAGGAAGGATTAGTTGTTCAAGGCCACCCCCTACTACCTGGGTACAGGATAACCAAGTCTCAAAAAGAAAAGTTAAAAAAAAAACAGATTTCATAACAATGAACCTGACAATGACTGACATTCCCGATAAACAAGATTGAAAAAGGAATCCCATGTTATCCTTTCCCAAGCTCAGTGACTTCAAAAGGATGTGGTAGGGCTCAAAGCACAGATCTTTAAGACTTAGCTCCTGTGTCTCACTAGGCCCTTTTGGTTCCCTTGCTCTGCTCTGTCATCTTGTGTTACAACTGAGCCTCCTTCAGGTATATTTGCTCTTCTCTGTGCTTCTTGACAGAGGAGGTGTGCAGGAAACATGCCTCATTACACTGGGCTTCCTGCAGTCCTAGCTAACTACCAGGCACTGGTTATAAGCACTTGGGAGTATCTTACTAAAGCAGCGGTCTTTGTCTTTAAAGAATTTGTATTTTGGTCAGTACTGACTATTAACTATATATTAATTACTATTATAAAAATACTTGGTTGGCACAGACTTTTTGCCTTTAACAATGGCCGATCATATATGCATATGAATGTACATATATATATGTATGTCTATATATTCATGTATGTGCACAAACACTTATAAAATATATTCACTAAAACAGATTTATGATCCATTTTTTTAATGAAAAAATAATTCATGAAAGATTTTCTATACATATAAACTCTAGTAGGAAAGGTGAGTTGAGGTTCTTTATAGCCATAATGTATCCCATGACAATGACTGCTCCTGTACTTCAGTGGAGAAATGTTAGCATTGCTGATTACAGGGTGCTGCCCTGAACCCTGCTGAGGTTGCTACTTCCTCTAAAGTTTATACGTTTTAATATGCTTCTAAAAGTGGCAGAAGTTCTGAATTCCAAATTGCATTTGGTCCCATTACTTCTAGATCCAGACTTCTTGATTAGCTTTATCATTTCTACAAATGTAAAGACTGAAGTTTAGGTAAATTAATAAACCTAATTATGAATTTGAAAAAACATTCTATATGAGATTCCCAGAATCATAATTTCAACCATCATACTATATTAAAATTCACTAAGTACCTGAAATTTGTAATTTGCACTTGAGTTTTGAATATAGGATAGAAAGTCTGTCCATTCCCTCTTCTCTATATTCAAATATTTTTAACCAGCTCCATGGTGAGCAATTTTTATCCCATATGAAATTCTGGAGTTATGTGTATAAGTAGTTAATGGATGGATGATTCCTCCCTGCTTCTGCGAGTCACCTTGTTATGAGGGTATATCAATTAAGACATGTCCTGCATAATATAAATAACTGAATCTATTGTACCCCGAAGAGTAATCCATTTTTATCTGAATAGAAAAAGTAATTAAACCAATTATTTTAAATTTAGAATCTGAAAGCTGATTTCACCTCCATTTCTAACATGAAGCAAAAGGGACAGAGTCAAATAGCCAGGCATTCAGGATTCCTCTGCGATTTACACATGCTTGAGGTGTCTTGCTTCTTTGAATGATAGAAATCCCAGTGAACCTCAGGACTTTGAAATAGCCAGCATGCTCTTGAGTCTCTCAGCAACAGACACTGCATGTGAATTAGTTCTTCTGCCTGCTCTGTACTATGGCCAGATTCCAAATCAATTGCTCAATCACATCTACATGATTTTTTGATAGAATTTTGCTGCAAATATTTTCAATCACATGTATTCCCCCTTAAATCAAATGACTACTAAAAGATGACAGCCTTAATTTTTGCTATTGTGGACTTTTGTGAAGCTGAAAATCTATTGTAGGTGACTGCTTCTGAGTATGTGTCAGGCTGAGTGCAGGGATGGTCCACATCAGGGCGCTCACTGGTGTTTTGTGATGTTTTATCTTTATGCACAGTCTTCTCCGTTTGACTCTTTATACCACTTCACTGCAGAGCTTCTCCCCAGGAACCAGCTGAGAAGCATTAGTTACCTATGAACATACCTGCTCTTTAAAAGGCCCTCCTGCAAGTTGCGATGTTGGGGGCCTCAGACCTAGCCTTCTGAGTTCAAGCTCAAGGGCAGAGTCAGCTTTTGAGTGATTGGCTCTTTGGGATTACACATACATCTTTATATTATCCAAGCTCTGTTTTTACATACTGGTGGCAGCTGGGTGTCGAGAAAGGACCTAGATATTAGAGATACACTCCAGAGCTTTGAACATTGATTTTTGTCATTTTTGGGTGTTCACCTTGAGAAAATTTTTGAAGCTTTTCAAGGATTGTGTTAAAAGTGAATGAAATGTCAGCTGTGTAATATTTGTCATGTAGTGATTATAACTGGGTTCTCAATTTTGTTTTGTGAATAGCTGCAGCAGATAAGTTAGACATAAAACGATAAAAAATATCAAGAACAACAACCAAACACTGATATTTCTCTTTCTGTGTGAGCACAAGACTATGGAGCCAAAGAGGCCCCTTCTCTAGTCCATATTTATAGGATCAGAGCAGGGAGGACTGAGTAAAGGGCTCCTGGTTCTCAGTCTGGTGAGGCAGAATAGAATAGGAAGGAGATTGCTTCAATTAATTAGAGGGCAGCCAACTTGTTTTTTTCACGTTGTCATATACAAAATTCTCACTCAAGAACTTCATGTTGAATTATAAAACCGTATCATAGTATTTTATGTAAGTGTAAAATTTTGTGATTTACCACATTTAAAGCTATCCATGGCCGTACATGTGTGTAGTCAGTATGGGTTGTAATTTGGACATGCTTGATTCAACATTATGAACATATAGAAAGATAGCAAATTTCCTTGTTCAGAAGCTGAGAAGTTTTTGTGTTTCTTGTTAACATAGAAGAACATAGAAGCCATTTTTCAAGGGCCCATCTCTGTTCATTTTGTCTGGTATATGGTTGCCCCTCCTTCAGTATTTCCTGTTCTTTCTCTACACGGTTCATTACTGTATAATCATCATCTAACGTACTTCTCACTAAGCTTACAGTTGGTCTGCATCCAGAACGTATGTTTCTTAAATGATTCATTTGTATTAATTGTTCCATATCCAAAATCCCAGGATTCAAGAACAGTAGCTGCCTAAAACGAAACAGGCAATGAAATTTCCTACAAACGCATGAATGGACATTCTACAGTGAAGAAGTTTGGAAAAAGTCATATAAGCTCAATTAGATTTAACACAAGTGGCATTTTTCAATAAAGTGTTCAATACAATGTTTTTGTGTTCTCTTTCCTATAGCTATAGGAGATGGGGAGTTAAACAACTGTGTATATGTATTGATTTTGATGTCTCTTTCCAGGTAGTAAAGGTGGAATGCCCACTTCTCAAAGAGTTCTCTTTTAAAGAGTTTGAAGAATCATGCCTGTGGAACCTGGGTCTCTCACAGGTGGCAGGTGTAACATATTTCAAAGTTTTGTCTGTGCTTTTTGTTCAAGGTAGACTATATATGATCTTTCACAACTTCTGAAAGACAAATACCATCCGAGCAGCCTTCACTCCTGTCTCCAGGTCTCAGTGAAGAAGCTTACACTTAGCTTGTTCACAAGATCATAAATCCTAAAAGCTCCACAGTGCTCCCAATCCCAGCAATGAGTTCCTCTGGAAATTCTGACAGGGAACGTAACAGTTCATGGAACTCTTAACCCAAATAATCTTATATTGTCTGATGGTAGAAAGGAAGGGGAGAAATCCCACTGTGGCACTGTGGTTTTTGATCAAGCTTGTAACTGAGATTAAAATAAACTTGTTCTCATGGTAAATTGTGCATGCATCCTTTCTGATAGGCAGATTGGCTTCATCTTGAGACATCTCTGTAGTAAGGAGGCAGTGTATAGAAAGAGACCATAACTGTACATTAAGCAACTGCATCTGCTACATCTGTTAGGTATTGCATTGTCTGGGGTCTCAGTAACTGAACAAACACAGATATGGCTCAAGAGGAGACTGATAAAATTAATCATGTGAAAAAAATGTCATATTAAATTAAGGAAAGTACTCTGAAGTGAAGGCATGTGGTGGTGTGGGAGCAAACAGAGGGGGCTAACCTATTCTGTAGGCACATGACAAG